CCTCGGACCTTAGTTCTTCCCATGAATATCATTCATTCACCCATACACTTGTTTATTGGTTCGTGAATGTGCTGATTTCTCCCTTGGTCGTTCATTGATCACATACTTGCTCATGCAACAAATATTCCTAAGGCTGGTTTGTTCTAGGCTCAGACTGGGCTTCACAGCCCAGATCCTGCTTATGAAGGCAGTTAGAAAGCAGCATGAGCTGTGCTACAAGCTCCAAAGAGAGTTTTGGAGAAGTTCTGAGAGGGAAGGGCCTTCTCCTACTCCTTTCCCTCCCCTCCTTAGAGGAGTGATAGTATTTTTTGGGGGACTGGAAAAGAAATTGGAAGTAGCCAGTATAACCCGAAGGGAGAGGGCACCTCCCTGTTATGTGTTTCTACTCTTGCTGTCCTTTTTTTGGCTTTAGTAGGAAGGAAGGAAGGAAAATTGAAGAGAGAACAGCTGGTGGGAGTTAGGAATTAGAGAATCCAGAGAGTGGTTTGGGGAGTGACTCTGGACTCAGTTCAAGGAGCTCCTGAGAGCTGATGCCAACTGGGATCCCCTAGTAAATAATAGCTGGGAGAGCCACTGTGCAGGGCCCTAGGTGTGTGCCAGGTATTTCACATACATCATTTAATCCTCACGGAACCCTGGGGAGTAGTTCATATTCTCAACAGCAAAGCTTAGGAACTTGTCTGAGGTTACACATTAAGCAAATAATGGATCTGGGATTCAGCATTACTCAGTGTTGCTGGAACCCTGGAACCCAACATGTGCAATATGCCCTTTGGAGTTGTACAGTGCTGAGCTTCGGGTTGGCCTAACTCCAGAGCCCCCTGTACTTTTCAGAATATTTCAAACATAAACTAAAGTAGTGAGAATAGTGTAATGAACCCCCATCACCCAGAAACAAAAATAATTAATTCATGGTCAGTCTTATTTCATTCGTACACCCCTATCAGTGGAAAAAACAGGAACTGTGTTTTTCTATTTTCTCATTCAACGATCAACACAGAGACTTCTGTGACCCCAAAATACATGGGGATTTCTCCTTACCAACAAGCAATCAGTTCTGCAGTGAATACCAGCTGGGTTTTCTCCAATTTAATTCTGATACTGTTTACCTGAAGATAGCATCAGATCCCTCAGGTTGAGGTCTCAGTCCCCAAAACTGCCCCCCTTCACTTCCAATGCCAATTGCAAGCCCAGGTTGTTTTACCTGTGCTTCTGAAAGTCTAGCTATAAATTGGGCTTCCCATGACCACCTCTTTGGGTTCAATTGATTTGCTAGAGCCACTCACAGAACTCAGGGAAACATTTATGTTTGCTGGTTTATTATAAAGGCTATTACAAAGGATACAGATGAAGAGATGTATAGGTCAAGTTATGGGATAAGGGGCATGGAGCTTCCATGCCCTCCCTGGGGTACCACCTTCCAGGAACCTCCATGTATCCAGCTATCTGGGAGCTCTTCGAGCCCTGTTCTCTTGGACATTTTATGGAGACTTCATTGGATAGGCATGATTGACAGCCATGTAGAAATGGGGTTGGACAAAGAGGGTATGGTCTAATACTGATTGAGTGTGGAAACCCAGCAAGCCCTGTCTGTTTGAATTCCTCTTGACCTCTCTGCAGCATACCTTCCCCCAGGGCATGGGCCAGGACCTTTTGTGAAATGTAGGTCTTATGACCCACAATCAGAAAGGCAGGGGAGGCATTGGTTCTCTGCCTATTGAAAAAAGAAAAGAAAAGAAAAGAAAGCAGATTAGAGTCCTGCCTTGGGAAGAAAAATGAGCAGGTGAAAGGAGGCAGAAGGTCAGAGAGAGATTCTGTTTTCTGAGGTCTGCTTCTGAAGGCTAAAGTGCTCCAACATTATCACAAAAAACTGTAACAAGGGCGGAGTTATGAGTCAGGAACCCTAGACAAAAACATATATATATATATGTGTGTGTGTGTGTGTGTGTGTGTGTGTGTATGTATATGTATATCTCATATCACAACTGCACTTCTGCCTCCCAGTAATCACACACTTTCACCTCGCACACCTTTTAACCATTATATTACATTGCTGTTCTAATAGTAAATATACCAGTTTATTTGCTTCGGAGTCTATATCTGAAGAATGGAACCAGTGCCACCTGACCCACTTCCCAGAGGCTTTATGAGGGATTCTAACTCCCAAATGCTGGGGGCCCAGGGACTGTGTGTCCCTCCTACTATTCCTTGGCTGATCCTCTGGTCCTTCAGCTTGAATTTCATGTTCTATTCCCAGAACATGCAGAGCCAAGCTAGAGCATACCTGGTTCTGTGTCTGGAAACTTGATTTCTGGGGATGGTCTCTGTCTGTTTTGCCCAAATCACCTCAAGCCCATAGACCCTGGGTTTGAATTGGGAGTATAATTGAAGAAAATACCCCAAAATGGATTTCAGGAATTTAATCTGAAGAGACTGAAGTTGAGATGCAATAGGATTGAAGTCTTTAAAATTATGGAGGGAATGAATTCTGTTCTTGTGAGAGGGGCCCGTGTCGCAGGTAAACAAGTCATACCTCCCAATTTGGGGAACCTCCCAATTCCCCAAAGAGTATAGACTGCCTGCAGCCCTGCTTAGTAGGAACCTCAGAGTCCCCACATAGGACGAGACCCTCTCCAGCCTCAGAGTAGGGGGATTGGGTGTGGTTGAGCAGGGTTCACATTAGCCTGATTCCTTCAAGAGGAAAAATAGCCTTATTCACAAAGAATCTGGGAGACAGCAGAGGGGCCAATACCTTTTCTAACTACTATCATTATGTTCTGAATGCCAGGCTTTGTGCTTAGCACTTTTCATGCTGTATTTGACCTAATCCTCAAAACAACTTAGGAGGCAGATATGCTACAGTAGAGGAAGTGGAAACCCAGAGAATTTGGTAAGTTGCTTAAGATCTCCCAGCCAGTAAGGGGCCAAGCTGGGAATGGTGCTGTCTCTGCCTAGGGCAACCCACTGCCTCCCCCATTACAAGGAACAGTAGTTTAATAATAGCTAACATCTGTGCAGCACTTCAAGGTTCACAGAGTGCCTTAACACCCATTATCTTCACTGTGCCTCAGGAAGCCCCAAGCGGGTGAGGCATTCCACGCCCCTTTGGGATAGCTGCCTGTCAGGGGTCCAGCCTCTGCTCATTTCCCCCAGTAAGCATTGGAAATTCTTTGGCATTGGTAGGGGAGAAGGCTTACGGAGAGGCTGAGGTGGAAAGACTTGGCCGGTTGCTATGGTAACCCAGATGGCTGAGTAACCATTTTGAGGGTTGCTATGGTGATGGGCGGCTGGTGGCAGAGATCTTGTCTTCCTGGGTGGCTGGCACCATCCAGGCCTCTTAAATTAGACATGTTGCACTTTCTGAACGGAAGAGGGCAGCATGAGAGCGGGCAAAAGCTTCTTGCCCCAGAGCAGATTTGGGAATTTAAGGCAAAGCTTGGAAAGGGTTTCCAGAAATGGGGCAGAAAGGGAGCTTTGGTGGGATTGGCTAAATAAAGCCTGTGCAGGAGAGACTGGTGGAGCCGCACTCCTGAGACTAGAACTAGGTGATTTGCTTCCAAGAGCTGGTCAAAGGATAAGGCTTGGGGTAGCCCCTTTAGTGTCTGGCGTCAGCTACTTTTGGGGAACATAAAAGGCACAGAAGGCAGGTACCCCTGCAAGGAGGAATGGAGAGAACATGAGTACACACACACACACACACACACACACACACACACACACTACTGGCAAGGAATTTATTTATAAAACATCAATTAACACGTGAAATAATGCAGCATGAGCTAAGCTAAAGAAGAGCTGGGGGTAAACCTTCTAAAGGTTGGGGAGGAGCACTAGCAGACAGAGAAATAATTTTGCCCTTCCCTCTTCCTCTCTGCATGTGAATGTCCTCAGCCCTTGAGCACTGAGTGGATGTCAAATTGGATTCTCAAGTGTCTTGAATCATAGATCTGGCCCCCTCTGCCAACCCCATGTATGTTCAGTGAAGCATCCGTTCCCTCAGTAAATTTTTATTGAATATCTACTAGGTGCAAAGTATCATGTGAGGCCCTATGATGTAGAAACATGAAATAGATGTCTCTGCCCTCCGAAAACTTATGAACTTGGAGGTTAAGGAGGCAGTGATGTGGATACCCACAATACATATGGTTGGAGACCCAGAAATAGGGGAAAGAAAATGCAGTTGGGATTTTGAGAAGAGCCTCTTCTACCTGGGTGGATTAAAAATAACTTCATGTCATTTGGGGTGAGCTTTCAAGATAGATTTCAGTAGGTGGAATTGGGGGATGGACATTCCAGGCAAAGGCCCAAAGTTTAATTATAGGGGAAGATGCTACACACAACAGTGTCGTGGGAGGTGGGAGATCAGCCTGGAAGGGAAGGCAGGTATCAAAATATGGAAGACTTTGAATGCCAGGTTTAGATAAGGGATACTGTGAAACACAAACATCTCTTCTTAAATAGTCTAGCCTCCCAGCTAGTTAGTAGCCACAGGCAGCTTAGTATTTTAAGATCATCTGGTTTACTCATTCATGCATTTAATCAAATTTTTTAAACAAATATTTAATGAGCACCCTGTACATGCCAGGTCGTTTGCTAGATGCTAAAGATCCTGTGGTGAACAAGACAGATGACAGCCCCAGCCCTCAGGGAGCTAATGATTTATAAGAATGAAAGACACTGAACCCACAACTTCAAGTGTGATGGGTATTAACCAAAGGGAGTGGGGGACTTATTAATGTAGGGGGTCAAGGAAGGCTCCCCCCTTGGGGGAAGTTTCAGCAGAGTCATGAGTAGGAGTGAGTCAGGCCAAAGGAGGAGAGTGATGAAGGGTTACAGGCTGGGAGAAAAGCAGGTGGGAAGGTCCTGAGGCTAGAGAGCTGGTTTGAGGAGCTGAAAGTAATTGAAAGTGGCTGGGCTTTTACTTGATGAGGCTGAAGTAGGGGAGGATGTCAAGGGAAAAACAGGGCTTTATTCCTTGTACTACCCTTCTCCCCCACTAGATGCCCTCCGGAGTACATCCTGCCTCCTGCCTCCTGCTTCCTGCTTTCCCCATCTCAGCCTCCTTAGAAATGCAATAGCAGTCTCACTCACTGGGAGCAAAGGAAAAGCAAAGACCAAAAGGAGACAGGCTCACAGCTTTCCTAACTGTGTGGTCTCGCTATAAATTTAGACTGTTGCTTGGAAAAAACCAAAAAAACCTTCTCTTCATAGACTTCCTTATTCCCATCTCCCCCGCCACCCCCCCAGCTGCTTTGTTCCTCTAGCCTTGTAAAATTTTCTCTGTGTAAAACAGGAACATCAGCCAAACATGTGGACTTCCCCCTTTCCATTCATTAGAAGAATACATTACTTCAAAATCTCACGGGAGCATTTAAATGCAAATTTTGTTAAGAAAGCAACTTGAGTCTGAGAGAAGCCCTCTAGCCACAATCCAAACCAGAACTTTCTTCCATGATTTCTGTGTTTCTTAATAGGAATCTCAACCCCTTGCTTTCTCCCCCCCCCACACCCTCCAGGTCTTTTCTGATTCCCAGAGTAGATTCTTTCTCTTCTTGTCTCTGTTCTTTCCTCACCTTTGGCAAGCATCAGTCACAAATCTTGAGGAACCTGCTTACAAAGTGGCACATGTAGCAGTCTCAGGAGGGGATAGAGGGACTTTCATATTTACTGCAATGAAAATGGGGAGGCAGATGTCTGTATGGGGGCGAGGGTGGAGGTGTAAGTATGTGTGATTTGTGTCTGGGCCTTCTTAGCCCTGGCTGGTCTAAAATAATATAGGAAATGCAGATGACTCAGCACGGATACAGTCAGGATCCCCAGAGTTAGCATTTCTATATCTCTGCTGTTTACAAAAAATGTGCTTGTGCCATCAATAACCAACTCCTTCATCCTGCATTTTCTGCCTTTTATTTATTTGAAAAAATATAAAACTCAAACTTATTCCCCTTCTTTTGTAAACTGAGCTCATTAGCAGCTGACACCAAAGTGTGAACTAGTTTTTTTTTTTTTAAGCACACAAGATTAAACTGAAAGGAAATGAACATTTGTCCAAGGATCCTCCCTGTCCTCTTTCAGGCCCTTCCCTGAAAGATTTCCATGCTTAGAACTTGGGCAGGCCAGCAAAACTTGATGGGAAAAGATGTGATTAATGACTTGCTCATCCGATTTCTGATCATGGTGAGATGTGGAAACAACCAGTGTGTACCTATTAGCAAGAAGCACCATTTCTTCTTCTTCTTATTAATGTGCTGAGCCATTGATTGTATACTTGGCACTTCTCACAAGATATAAAGATACAGTCCCTGCCCCCGGGGGATAAGAAGCTCCTCTTTCAAAATCTTGAGAGTGGGAATTGAAATGGAAGCCCAGGTCCCAATTTCAGCTGCTCAATGTCACATGAACTCTTTATTTTTTTAGAGATGGGGGTCTTGCTCTGTTGCCTAGACTAGAGTGCAGTGGCTCTATCATAGCTCACAGCAGCTTCCTGGGGTCAAGCGATCCTCCTCTTGCCTCAACCTCCTGTGTAGCTGGGACTACTGGCCAGGCAAGGGCCACCATGCTGGGCTAAATGAATTCTTTTAACTTGCTAACATGCCCTTATTGTGAGATCAGCCTGCCTAACTTCTTACCCACAACCACCCCTCCAGACTTCGTAAAAAATCAAGCTAACAGGGGAAGGATAATGCTGAAGGGGAGGTAGATGTGGGCAAAAGTGTCACCTACATATACCAGAGTTCCTCATTCCCTGCTTTTGGCCCCGGTGCACTCCAACAATAATTGGATTGAATGATACACAACTGAATGGAGGGCCGAATGATGTTGGAACTCCCTCCTCTAAATGGTCCCAAATAAAGCTCTACCCATATTTACCAGTTTGCTTTCATTACTCTTTCTTTTCCCCTGATGACAGAGAGTAATTGGCTTTCCCTTTTCTTCCCTGACCAGTTATGCTCCAGAATCCTTTCTTTGTTCCATAACAGTCCTGGTTCAGCCTCAGATTCCCGCATTTCTGCCTTTTGATCTATGTCTCTCTGTTCAGATGGCTGTCACAGTTTAATAATCCTGTTGGGTCTGTCCCCCATAGATTTATGTCCTGTCTCTCCTGTTATTCACCCATGGTGCAGTCAGAATCCTGTTTTCATTCCTCCCTCCGTTGTCATTTCTCAGGCTCTGGCTCCTTGGCCTGGTTTACATCATGGTGCTAGGTCTGCCCTCGTAACTTCTAGTTGGGTTTCTTCTGTTTCTGGAAAACCCTTTGTTCCTGGGATTCTTTGTGGTCTCAGTGTTCCCTGTGGCCTCACACTGCAGCCCTGTCTGGAGCTTGCCCTTGTCCTCGTTCTGACCACGTCTGGCCCCGGGATCTGAGGCATCCTGGTCTTTTGCTCTTTGCCTTCCCTTCAGTTTCTCTAGGTCCTTCCAGCGCGGTTTCTCTCCAGCCAGGGGGCTCCCTCCTTTGTCCCGGCTCCGGGTGTAGGTCAGCGCTGCCGCCCACCCTGTGGAGTCGGCCCGGGTCTCTCCGCCGCTTCGGCCGGCCCAGCCTTTCCTGCTGACGTGAAGGGGCCTCCTACCCGGCCGGACTCCCGCGTGGGCCGGCCTCGCTCCCCACGGCTCGGCCCCCAGGCCGGGCCGGGCCACGGTCGGCAGCCACCGGTGGACCCATGTGGGCAGCCCGGACCCAGCCGGCCGCAGCCGGGGAGCCGAGGACGCGCCGGGCCGCGGAGGCGGCGTGAAGGGGGCGGGGAGCGGGCCGGGCCTGGCGCTCCTGACAGGAGGAGCCGCCGCCGTCGCCGCAGCCCGCCGCCGCCGCGCCGGGGCGGGCTGAGGGAGGAGCGGAGCCGAGGGGTGGGGAGGCGGAAACGGGATCCGGGACCGGCGGAGCTCGAGCGGGCCGGGTGCGAGCGGGCTGAGGAGCGGAGCGCGACTGCCGAGCCGGGCGAGGCGGGAGGAGAGCGGACAGCGAAGAGCGAGGGCGCCGCCGCCGCCCCCGAGACGCACAAAGGGCCGAGGCTGGGGCCGCCGCCGCCGCCGCCTCAGCGCGCGGGCCTGGAACCGGCGCCCCCCAGGGCCCCGGGAGAGCGCGGTGCGGGCGGCCATGGCCGGCTACGTGCCGGGTCAGCAGCCGGCCAACCGCAGCCAGGAGAAGGAGTTTGTGCAGGCGTACGAGGATGTGTTGGAGCGCTACAAAGGTAGGGCCGGGGACTGGCCGGAGCCCGAGGCCCGCGGGCCGGCGCGGCGTGGCCTCCGGAGCCGGTCGGCTCGGCCCGCTGCAGGTGGGGCGGCCGGGCGGGGTCGCGCCCACCCGCGCTGGGGCTTGGCTCTAAGCTGCTGTTTCCCTGGGCTAGTTTATTTACAGAGTGGAGATAAGCCTTCGGAACCCTCTCCTAGGGCAGTCGGCGCTTTCATATCACCAGTTACATTATTTGCCCCATTATCGGACCCCAGCTGGAAGGAGGCGAGACAAGGTGCTGGCTGGGGAGACCGACTGCTGTGGGAGTTGCTGAGGGGGAGGAGGAGGAGTTGGACGCGAGAGAAAACCACCCGTTCTGCTCTCTGTGCGATCTTCCTCTCGGAGAGGCTCGTACCTCTGCGCGCCCGCGGAGGGACCCTCGCCCCCTTTTGTCTCCCTGAGTGTCAGATGAGGCCAGGGTGCGAACCGGCGCGGTGTCTTTGGGGTGGGGTGGGCAGCGTGTCAGTGAGTGTGCAGTTTTTGGTGGAGAGGCCTCCTCTCACCCCCTTCCCCCTCGGGGTCTGGGCCTGATTCAGGCAGGGGTCTATTTCTTTCTTTTTTTTCCCCCCTCGAAAATAAAGATTTGTCTTGGAGCTCGGGTTTCAGTCCCTGCAGGCTCTCTTTCGAAGCAGTTCTACAAGTTAATGCCTAATCTGAACCTTGGGTGCATACAGAGAAAGTTTTGACAGGCCAGAGGGTATGTGGACTGCATTTCCCTAACTGCTGTAGGTGCCCCTACGTGGAAGCCAGGGATGCGTGGCCTTGGGAGGCCCTGCTTTGATCTTTAACATCCATTTCTGAGATTCTGCTTGGGGCGGCAGTTGTGCTTTCCACAGAAGGGAAGATTTTCCCCAGAAACTACATAGGCAGCACTTTCTCCTATTTAGCTCTGGCCCTTGTGACTAGGCCTTTAGTTTCTTTTCATCTGAGGAAACTTCGGCCCTTATGATTGAGTCCAGCATACTTGTTTACGACACCTACCCAGTGAGGGGAAACTAATGAAGAAGCTGTAAAACGCTCCTTTTTTACGTTTCTTTTTTTTTTTTTTCTTGTGCCATTAGAAGTCTGTTTGGGAATGCAGCAGGAAAAAACAGTAGAGAGATGAAATGCTAAAATCGACCTGCTAGGGCTTCTACTTGTTCCCTTCTGCATCAGTTCCTGTAAGCTGTCCAGCTTTTCCTGCCTGCAGCAAGTTTTCTGTCAACCCCCTGTGGTCTTTCTTTTAAGAAATGTGGTTCATTTCAGAGCACAAAGAGATTAGATTGTGCTGCTGAACTTCATTGAAAAAATGCTGCTCAGTGAATGGTTCCATTAAGTTTCCTTTGCAGGCTTTTGAGCAGCACTGCACTCTTCAGAGGGAGGAGGTGCACTGGGGTTGTCTTGGGCTGTGACAGCTTTAACCCAGCAGAACTAAAACAAAAATAGGTGAACAAATCTCAGTACCTCACTGGATGATATTGCTGGCCGCCTTCAGCAGACAGGAAGTTGGACTCCTAGCAAATAAAACTGGGAAGGAAGGGGGGCAGTATGGCTTGTTCCAGGAGAGGCCCCCTGTGTTCAGTCCTTTTAGCTGTCTCACTCAGTTTGGCTTTCCTCTGAAGGACTTTGATCAGGTGTATAGGAATTTAATCCTTCCCAGACACAGATCTCTTTCTTGAGAGGTGGAATGAGTCAAAAACGGTTGGGCCAAGTGAATTAACTTGCTCTGTATGAGATTGTTGCGCAGTCTGCTCTATGATAGGTGCAGAACAATCTCTCTTCCCCTCCACTGCACCATTGTCACTGGGAAGTCAGAGTGGCTTAGCATCTGGGTCTTTGATAACTTTGCTGTATGGAATTCCTGCATTTTCCAGACTTAGAAATCCCCTTACTGCCTTGATAGGAAAACTGTATGTCTAAGCAGAGGGGTGATCTGGAATCAATGGAGTGACCAGGGGGAGAAGTTTGTGAGAATAATGCCAGGTATCAGTTTTGTAGAGAGATGGGGAAATAGATTTTGATGATGGTGGGGTTCTAGACACTCATTGGTTGGCCACCACATTACTTGGCGCACGCTCTCTCTCTCTCTCTTTCTCTCTCTGCTGCTGTTAATGTGTAGTCACCTCATTCTACAAACTAAAGCAGGATTTTTGTATGCTGAAGGAGAGCTAAAGTTTTCAGCTGCGTAAACTGCTCCTGGAAGGGGCAAAGGTGAGAAGGAAAGTAATATATTTGCCATGTGAAGGGAGCAAAGCTGTATGTATTGTAGCTGTATTAGGAATGGTTGTCAAACATAGGTTTTCCAGAACTGTGCTTGGCAACCATTTCCCTATGTGTTG